ATGACTGAATTGAGAATGAGGAGACCCCGCAAGGAACAAGATATGCCACAGCTGAGGCCACCTGGAGACTTCCTGGATAGTTTTTCTTAATTAGAATCATCTGTTGATCTGCGGGTTCCTTGAACCTCTCCCAGGGGACTGCTCAGGTTTTTACCATTGTCCACTCACTTCCTTGTTTGCTCTGATTAAATATGGTGTGCCTACTGACAGGTGGCTGGCTGCTTAGCAGAGTTATGAGTTCTGAAGAAGATTTCACTCTTCCTGTTGCCCTTAAGACAATGCCACTTCTCTGATTCTTTTGGTCCTTTGCTGTGCACTTTTTTGTGGGCTAGATATTTAGGCATAGGCCCCAACAGAAAATTAACTTCCAGATAGGATAACTGTAAATTTCCTGAAAATTTTGTTGTGTGTTAATTTGTTTTACCTGTAGACAAAAGTGTTATCAACAAATATATTGCTAACTTATCAACATATGCTACCTTATTAACATATTGTGGGGTATTATAGTGATTTCTCAGAAGGCACGATTATACACCTCTTTACATCATTGTGAGTATTCTGCATAACTTTTCTAAGTCAGTACTTATAAGTGAAATTGGTAGATAATAAAGGAGGCCTCCACCAACTTGCTAAGTACTATGTAACATGAGTCTCGGTGTTTCTAGCAGTTCATTTCTTTTAACCATGAATTCCTCACCAGATGCCAGTTATGCCTGCTTGGCAGAGAATGGATTGTACAGGAAATTAAGTGGTTTTGATCTCCAAAGAATTGCTGGAGTCAAACTGAAACAGGTAAACACTAAAAAACTGTCAGGGTTTTCATAGATTAAAAACTCATTTACATAATTAGTTGAAGAATGAGTTGATGCATTTGGAAGATTATTCAGAACATACAGCTAGCTGAATTATATTAGATATTTCTTTCTTTACTTTTATACAGGTACAAAATACCTGACTTACAGAATTTAATATAAATATATTCTTTACCTCATTGTTTCCATGACGGAAGCTTTTGGCTGTTTCCAAAGCACAAATATCTTGGAAAAAAAGTGAAAAGCATAAGGTAACTTTTGTATGAGGTCAAGGAGCCAGAGAACAGTTTCAGAACTTGAGAGGAAGGATCCAGGGACCAGATTTGGTTCATGGGTTCCAACACACATGGCTGCAGTTTATACATATAGAAGCGATCATAGTAATATCCTACACATTTCTGAAGCCAAAAAGGTGTTAACAAATGGATCAACAGGCTTTAGGGAATATATGACTGCTAGGAATATTAAAATCCGAAGAGTATTATACTAAGATGCTAAAAATTAAAATAATTAATTAAAAGATAGTTACCAAAAATAGTTACTTAAAAAAGTAGTTATTAGTAATATTGTCATTCTACGGAGCTCATTACCCTAATAACCAAGCACCACCCACATGGTTATAAATTAACTGACCGCGTCGTTCTGCTGTTCCGTAATGCATCATCGCCCCCACCTTAGTGACCTGTGTGCTATGTGAACTTTTGTTCCCCTTGTAAGAGATAAATGAGGCTGTGTCAACCACTGTTCCCTTTATGAGAGACAAATATTCCTGGAATTGGCAGACCAAGGGCTATGAACTGGCTAAACACCCACTGTGAAAAGCCTCTGACCTCAAGCAAAGGAAACAAAGGCCCACCTTATTTCTATTTCTCACTATGTACTTAATGATCAATGAGCTAACCATAAATAAACTATAAAAATCAGCCAAAACTCTAACTCAGTTGCACAGCTTTACAAATTCCATCTGCACTGTGTCTCTGGGCCAGCTAAAATAAACGCGCTTCTTTTAAAAAAGACGTCTTGCCCCATTTGTCATCTTGGAGTCTTGCTCTGTTTCTTCATCATGGGGCCCTGCTTTTTTTGAGTAGAGTACAACAAAGAGCTGAGTGCCAATTAGTGACAAGGGAACTATATGGCAAGGGAAACTTAGAGCATGAAGTCCTTGGGTGTCCCCACCTCACCAGAAGGAAATTTTTAATTGGATTAGGAATTTGTTCCATTTCAGCAATAATTGTCACCCCCATGCTTGGCAATATGATCACTTTCAGAATTCTGCATTTATATAAGTCTGAATGAGTAGCAAACTTGTCTTGGAGAACTGATGCACGCTTTTATTTCATCCTTACTCTGTTGCAGACCATTACTATCATTTAAATGCAATGTCTTCACTTTACATGGTAACTGTGCTCCTTTGGTGTTCACATACTGGGTTTCTAGGTGGAAAATTAATAGAAACGAGTGAAAGTCATGAAAATGAAGTCTGCTGCCTCTAACACAGACTTCCAACTCTCTGTTCTGTTGTGTCCTACCCTGGCCTGTTCTCAGAATATTTTCTGACATCAGTGGATATTTATTCCTGGAGGTTGAACCTGAATCCTGAAAATATTTGCAGCCCATTATGGAAAGAGTCCACTGATCCTTGAAAGAAAGCAGGGGTAGCCATGAAATGGCAGGGATAAATAGGAAATTTAGAGACGAGCTAACACCACCACTTCTCAAAATTTAATGAAATCGAATGGTAAATGGTACTTCCCAATTCATTCCTGGAAGCAAGCATTACCCTGATACCAAAACCAGAGAACAATCCAAATAAGAAAGATAATTACAGACCATTCTGCCTAGTGAACATTGAAGCAAAAATTCTCAGTAAGATACTGCCAAACAGACTGCAGAATATAATCAAGAAGATTTTACACCACGATCAAGTGGAATTATTCCATGGGACACAGGGGTGGTTCAACATACATAAAACCATACCTATAATACACCGTATTGACAAATCCAAAAGCAAAAATCATTCGATCATTTCAATACATGCTGAAAAGATTTTGCCAAAGTCCATCACCTATTCATAATAAAAAACCTACAAAAATTGGGAGAGATGATCTTTATCTCAATCTGATAAAAGCCTTTTATTACAAACCAACAGTCAACCTCATACTAAGTGGACAAAAACTGAAAGCTTTCACTCTAAAATCAGGAACAAAACAAGGATGTCTACTTCCTCCACTCTTATTCAATATAGTCCTGGAAACTAGCTGGAGCAATTAGACAAGAGAAATAAATAAAAGGAATAAATATAGGAAAGGAAAATCTTAAACTATCATTATTTGCAGAAGACATGATACTCTACTTAGAAGACCCTAAAAATTCCACCAAAAGACTTCTAGTTTGAGAAGCAAATTCAGTAATATAGCTGGTTACAAAGGCAACACTCAACAATCAATAGACTTCATAAACAAGAATAAAAAACTCATGGAAAGAGAAATCAAGGAAACAATAACTTTTACAATAGCATCCAACAAAATGAAATACTTAGGAATCAATCTAACAAAGGATGTAAATGACCTCTACATTGTAAACTACAGGACTCTCAACAAGTAGACTGAAGAAGATGTTCTAAAATGAAGAGCTATCCCATAGTCTTGGGTAGGGAAATTCAATGTAGTGAAAATGACCATACTTCCAAAGCTATTGTACACATTCAGTGCAATCCCAATCAAAACCCCATAGCATATCTCAAAGAATTACACAAAATAAATCCTAAAATTCATCTGGAACCAGAAGAGACATAGAGTAGCAAAGGTGATCCTGGCCAACAAAGAACAGATAGGGTTCATTAAAATCCCTGACTTGAAATTATACTATAAAGGTATTGTGATGAAAAAAAAGAAGGTGTGGTACTGACAAAAAACAAAACAAACAAAACCAGACCCAAAGATCAAAGGAACAAATTAGAAGCTGGAGAAACAACCCCAGACCACTAAATCATCTTATCTTTGACAAAGGTGCCAAACAGTGTCATTGGAAAAAAAGCAGCCTCTTTAATAAATTGTGCTGGAAAAACTGGCTCTATACATTCTGAATATTATCTTTCAACGTGTATTAAGCTAAGATCAGAATAGATGAAAGATCTTATATTAAAACAGAAACATTAAATCTGCTGCAAAATAGAGTAAGTAAAACTCTTGAAGACATGGATGTAAGCAAAGACTTTATGAAGAAAACATGGATTGAACAGCAAAAATCGAAGAGAATTAAGTGAGAATCTCACCCTACTGAAAAACTTTTTAACAGCAAGTGAAATCACTAACAGAGTGAAGAGAAAACCCACAACGTGGGAGAAAATGTTTGCCAACTGTTCCTCAGACAAAGTATTACTATTGAGAGCACGGAAAACTAAAATATTTCAGTCTTCCCAGATTTAAAGACCCAATCAAAAAATGTGCATCTGAGGTGAAATACACAGTTCTCAGATGAAGAAATAGAAACAGCAAATAAATATGTGACAAAATGTTCTGCATCACTCGCCATTTAACAATTGGAAATTAACACTGATATGTCACCTTGCCCCAGAAAAAATGCCTACTGTCAAGAAATCAAGCAATAAGGAATGCTGGAGGGGTTGTGGGGGGAAAAGGGACCCTTCTCCATTGTTGGTGGTAAAGCAACCACTGTGGAAATCAGTGTGGAGATTCCACACCAACTAGGTCCACAGGTCCCACTTAACTCAGGTATTCTACTTCTGGGTATCTACCCAAAATAAAAATCATCATACCACAGTGATATATGTACACCCATGTTTTTAGCAGCACAGTTTGTGGTAGCCAGATCTTGGATGGAATGTAGGAACTCTAGCTTGCCAGACAAGTACTTAAGCTAAATCCCTGGACCACTTTTTTTTACTTTTTAACTTCCCAATAAAATGGGTTTGGGAGAAAAAACAAGGACTGAGGTAAAGACTTTCAGTGCAAATACTCATCAGATGAGCTGAGATCAACATTCCAGAAAACAGCCAGCTCCAGAAGCCTCCACCATGTTTCATTGGGGACCCACAGTTACAGGGTGGATTTTTTTCCGTGATTATTCTTGGTGGGGAAGGCAGGCAGGAGAGCAGGAGCCAATCAGTGATGAAGAGGCTGGCTGTAAGAACTGTCCAATCAGGCAGTCCAAGGTAGGCGGTCTCTTCCGGTGTCATGGCGTCCATTGCAAGGCCAGGGCAAAAAAGGGAGCAGTAGATGCTTGCTTGACCACTATTTTTTGCTTCTATTCTCCGTGGACTGCTTAGAAAGAACCTGGGAGATCTCCAAACTGCACAATGGTGATGTTATGGGATGGGAGCAGTGAAATGGGGTGGAATCCGTTTGAGACTAGTTAGAAGTGGTGAGAAGGGGCTGGGGGTTTAGCTCAGCGGCATAAGTGCCTGCCTTAAAAGCAGACAGTCATGAGTTCGATCTCCCCTACTGAAAAAAGGAAAAAGAATAACAACAACAAAAAAAGAAGAGGTGAGAAGCAGCTGTGCTGTCTAGAGCCTGTGTGCTTAGCCTCAGATCCTGAGGTCCTCTAGTGCTAGCAGTGAGTCATCCTCTGTCCCTCTTACCTCTCGCTGGTGCCAGGACAGTTCTGGATCCCTAGAACTCTGTTGCCACTGTGATACCACCAGGCCACAATGCTAGTTTTGAAATCGCCTGGTGCCCTTGCTCATCCAACAGTCTGGGCCCAGGACGGGGCATGAGGAGACCCTGATTCCAATGTGGTTTCAAGCTGGGTGCAGCTGTAATAAGCCAGGTCTCTGCCCTAATTCCTGTCAGCAACAGATCTGGAAGCCAGAAGTTTATAAATGTCTGTGATGCAGGACCTCATAGCCACAACTGCTCTCCTTAAACTTATGCAGTTATGTGTTTTGTGATCGCCTAAATTTATACTATGTTCTCATATTTCCATGCACATGAAAGGTGGAGGCAAAGGTTCTGAGAACTTAAAGATGTGTAGTGATGTGCCTCAGTGGAGGAAGGCTTCCCAAACACCAGATAAACTGCTGTGTATTATACAGGACAATGCAAAGAATTTCTGAACATACTTTATGTGACACATGTGCTCATAGATGATGTTTGGGAGAACATCCATAGAGGTTTAAATTTTGTGAAAAAGGAAGCAGATATAAATGTGTCTTCAAGGGCAGGGTAAAGTGTGTTTGCTAAGGACAAATTTCAGAAAGGGCTGCCTGTTAAATTCTCTTTGAAAAATGCCTAAATTTAGTCATTTGCATGAACTTATACAAATGATATCCTTCTGAATGGAAGGGAATATGGGTGTCATCTCTGAATTAAGAGGTGATTTAATAGCTTGGCTGATCATATACATTGTTTAAATATGGAAATTCTCTGAATGGACTTTGCTAAGTGGTGTAAAGGAGATGCCATAAATTGAAATTGTGCAGAGATATCAATAGCTTAGTCGTGAATGGTTATCTGCTTAGGGTGGATCAGACGAGCATGGAAAGGATGTGGAAGTGACTGGCAGGACGCAGTGTGCCAATAGCAGGACATACAACAGAGAGGGTCTTCCCTGAAAGTCAGGTAGTTCCTAGGGTAAGCATGAAGTTAAACTTGGCTTCTGATTTCTTCCTTGAGGTGAAAAACACCAGCTCTGGTAAGAATCAGTATTCCACATCCTTGTCAACCCATGAATTCTGTGTTCTTCACTTGAGATGTAATTTTGATTATCTCTAATTATGACCCAGTGTCATGAAGGTGAAATTTGAATTTTTTTTGTAACAGGGATCGAACTCATGATCTCAAGCTTGCTAGGTAGGTGTTCATGCTGCTGAGCTAAATACCTCACTCTGAAAGTGTTTTCTGTATACTATGTCTGATATCAACACTGTTCCTCAGAAAATGTTGAATATTGTGGAATTTTTCTATATTATATGGATATAATTTTTAAAGCAAACCAAAGGTGTCCTAGGCAGTCACTTTTAAAGTTTCACATTGTCTGTGGGGTGTCTCAGTCAGGGTTTCTCTATTTCAGACAGCTCTGTAACTTAGGCTAGCCCCAAACTCAAGGAAGTTCTCCTGCATCTGCCTCCCAAGATATATTTTTTGTATCTGAATGGAGAGTGATCACTTGGTGACACTGAGCTCTAATTTGAAACTTGTACCTGGTTTCATTGTTTATGCATTTTTTACATACAGCAGTTTTCCATGAACATTTGAGTTATTATTTATGTATCATATTTCATGTTATTTATGTTTTGTTCTATGAAACCAAATTTTAATATCAAAATGCTGCTTAAGTATATTAAGAACAAAGGACTCAGTGCCCTAAATGAGATTTGAAGAGATATAATTTTAGTACATCAAAGTGATTCATGAGATATTTGTCTGCCTCTGTGCTTTATGGATGCTGGTCCTGCAGGCTCTCACTATGAGCTCTGCTTTAGAGACAGCTCACAGGGACTCTTGCAGTGACTCAGCATAAGAATGAGTGTTCCTATTTGGCTGTTACATTAGCTGTGAGTTGCAATAGAGCATTAAATTTGCTGTCTCAAAAAATGTGTATATACCAAAGATTAATCCCCAAGATGTGGTATTAAGATTGAAGAAATCAGTCTCCATTCAGCTGTTTTGTTTGGTTTTATTTGTTTAGTTTAGTTTTGTTTTATTGAGACAAGTTTTCTCTATGTATATCAGCTAGATTTGAACCCTATATGGAGAACAGAATTGCCCTAGCCTCAAAGCAGCACTCCTGCCTCAGCCTATTTAGTGCTGGGATTATAGATATGTGTGTTTTTACCCTAGAAAATATTGAGGCTTGTAACTTAGGTGTGTTGTAGCTTGGCATAATAGATGCCATCTTGAGCTTTGAATTTAACTAGTGCCCTGTATTTCACCCAGAAAAATGGAAAATTACTCAGTGTTGAAGTCCCAGGAGAAAAACAAAATGAGCTGTACCCAAAGAAAAAAATTAACCTGCTCAACAAAAAAAGCAGAATACAGTTGTCATCCAACCATTATTATAAGATTCTAGCTAAATGATTTCCAACAGGATCTTTTTGTGATTCTATCTTTTAAAACATCTGTAAATTTCCAGTTCAGAGCCTCTTGTTTAGATCCTGATATGGGGGTGGGGGTTCTGTATACAGGTGGTCCTGAGACCAGCTATGAAATTCTACATTTCTCAATTGGGTTCCTATATTGGCTTCCTATATTATTGTTCACAAACTCACCTCAAGCTGCAGAAACCTTTACTGACACAAGCACACCTCAGGATTAAATGGCAGTGCCACTGAAATGAAAGAATAATTGTGAAAAAGAAAGGAGAAAAAAGACAAAAAGGCTTAGGAATGGCACCTATTGTGCTACAGCACAGCAGTGACCTCCTTCCTGCAATACATTTACAGTTCACTAGAATGAGGACTTCTAAAAGCTCATGGAAATGTTAAACTCAGGGCAAACAAGCAGCTTGAAATCCGGGCTTTGGAACAATGTCTTTAGCAGACATTTCATATTTAAATTGAGATAATAGAAATATAACCCTGCCCTGCTTGATATCAAATGCACCCTTTAATGGCTGACAACATTGAGAAATGAAGTCACAGACCAAAAGAAGTTCAAAAATTGTCTTAGAAAAAACGAGAGAATAGCTCTGAATTTTCAGGAGTAGTCTTCAGTGTTTTGGCCTCAGTCATATTGTCAGGGATCATTTATACAGGATAGTCACAATGTGGGCAAACTGTGGGTCTCAAACTACAATCAATCTATAAGCTTATAGGTGCTTAACTAATATTATTCATCAGGGGAACAAGTTAGCCAGAAAAGGTATGTGGAAAGAGCAAAGGCATTTTGTGGGAACAATAGTCCAGTTGTTCTGGTCATTGAGTATGGTAATTGATGCCTATCGGCACTTCCTGGAGGAGGTGGTGGTAACTGTAGTACATTTCAAGCTGTTGTTTTTCTCTTCAGGAGCATGTAGACCTGGTCACTGCATCTTCACCTTCAGGTCTGGCTTTCTTCAGCTGTGCCTGTAGCAGTGATTGTTGTATTTAGCTTTTTGCATTGACTCTTTGAGGTTCCAGTTCCTCTCTGATTGTATATCAATTTCTGTCTACATTGAAAACCTTTGCTAAAATCACAGTACTATTTGAATGAATAAAGTGAAATATTCATTAATACATGCCAGGGATTTAGCTCAGCAGACAGAAACGCCTGCCTGGATAGTGGTAGATTGTAACTTTGATCCCTAGTACCTAAAAAAAAAGTAATTTAAACTGCAAGGAAAGAAAATAATTGCATTTGTGAAAATGTAGGTTTACAAAATTTATGCTAAATATGGCAATGGCAAATTAAACATTGTTAATAGTCATATTTAGTATCTAAAGTTGTTTGGGCTTGGGATTGAGCTCAGTGATACAAGGAGCTGCCTGGAGAGCACAAGGTCATGAGTTCAATCCCTCATACAGAAAAAAAAATCACAGTTGTCATTGATGCAGTGCTATGAGCACATTTATTGAAACTGATACTTGGTATTTAATAGGCTCAATGTTTCTTTTGTGATCTACGAAATACCTGCAGATAACATGGCAACTACAGTGAATGATATTCTGTCCCCTATAGGATTGCTATTTTCTGAGTTGTTTTTATTTTTTGTTTTCCCACAAACTTGAAAATTGAAAATGTTGGCTGATGCTAGCTAGAAACACTGTGATAATCATTTTTTCAATTTAATGATACATTTCCCTATATCCATTAAGAACATTTTATTGGCTACAGTTGCTGCAAGTCAAATTGATAAACAATTCTTAAAGTTACAGGCAGCTGAGTTAGTTAGAAATACAGGCAGCCATACCGTTTTAAAGTGGAATGAAATTCCTGACCTTCTATGTCTGGTATGAGCTTGTATTCTCTAAAACACAAGAATGAATTTTAGGAACAACAGAGTTGAAGAGCAGAATATATTTATTGAGAGAAAGAAAGTGATAATATTTTGCTCTAAATAGGATATTTTGGAAGTCGAAGTGGAACCAGGGGACTTTTACCTTGAAGTGACTTTCCTTTTCCCTATTCAAGCTACCTGTGGCAAGGAAGGAATCTCAATCAGCTACTGGCATATCAGCAATGACAACTTTAACCACCAACCAAGTCAAAAACTACTTGTATGCCACCCACACTTTTCCAGAAGAAAAAGCCAGACCCCCAGTGGTCATGGGTTCTCTCCATATTCTTAGAATAAAGACCATTTTGACTTTATATTTTCTTCTTTATTACACCAAAAATCCTATCAGAAAGCTTCTGTCTGGGAGAAACAGGGGGGTTCTGAGCT